CCGAATCGTTTTGCAAAAAATCTTTCAATAGCGTGCTCCGTAAATCTTAGAAAATTTTTAAAGCTATTTCAGACACCAAATCGTTATGCAAAAATCTTTCATTAAGCAAAAATTTGAATTTTTTCAAGCTATACAATACATTGAATCGTTTTGCAAAAATTCTTTCATGAAGCAAAACTTTTCGTAAACCTTTTTTAATAAGCATATTTTCGCAAATTGATTTGCCCTTTGAAATAATTTGAAATGTTTCAAAGTTTCATAGCTTGAATAGCTTGCTTAGAACAACTTAAATTTTTCGCAAAACGATTTGGTTTAGGAAACAACTTGAAATTTTTTGAAATTTCATAGCTTCAATAGCTGGCTCTGGAAAAGTAAAATTTTTGCGAACCTGTTGGATCTATGAATTAATTTGAATTATTTCGAAGTTTCAAAGTTTGAATAGCTTGCTTAGTAATACTGATGTGCTCCAGGAAAAAACTTATGAGAGAGTCGATAGAGCGTGTCAAAGAAGCAACCGTCCCAGACCCCTGAACAACCCCATTGTCACTAATGACTCCATTCTCGAACTCATTCTTACCTCAATTCCGCGGCCACATATCAACGCCAGACTCCTTGATCATTCCAGACTTATTAACATTCCCTGCCATTTGAAATGGCATTTTATAGTCTTTTGGTAATTTACCCTTTTTTTTATTTTTGCGAACTGATTTGCTCCAGGAAAAAACTTGAATCTTCCATAGGATTTTTTTTGCAAAAATATTTGCTCTACATATATAAACTTGAAAAAGTTAGAAGTTTCATGGCTCTAATAAATTGCTCAGAAAAACTTAAACGTTTTGCGATTACTTTGAAATTACTTAGTAAATTTAGCTTTAGGCATTTTTCAGCAACACGATTCGGTCTTTAAAACAATCAAGGTTCCATAGCGTGAACTTTTTGCGAACCGATTTGGTAAGTACATTAAATTGAAATATTTCAAAATTTCATAACTTGAATAGCTTCATTCATAGAAACTAATTTTTCACGAAACGCTTCGGTTTAAGAAACAATTTGAAGTATTTCGAATTTTCATAGCTTCAATACCTTGCTTAAAAGAACTTGCGCACTGTATTGCTCTATGAAACAACTCCAAATTTTTCAAAGTTTCATTGTTCGATTTTTTCGCTCAGAAGAATTTTATTTAAAACTTAAACCATTCGCAATCCGATTCCGTTCTTGAAATACCTTGAAATATAGCCAAGTTTCCAGCTTGAATAGCTTGCTCAGAAAAGTTTTTGCGAACCGATTAAGTCTGAAACTACCTGAAGTATTTCATAGCTTGAGTAGCTTCCTAAACTATTTATTTTTTTTTGCTGACTGATTTGCTCCATGGAAAATGTTTCTAAATTTCATTGATTGATTAGCTTCAATATGAAAACGTAATTGTTTGCCATCGGATTGAGTTCCTTTCAAAGGTTCCTAAATTCAATAGCTTGGTTAGAAAAACTGCAATTTATCTTATGGTATCAGATGTACTCTGTTAGAAAGTTTTTTCAGAGACGCCCACTACTTGAATGAAGTTTTCTGAATTAGCTATAGCTTGAAGACAAACTTATTTGAAAGCTAAGTTTATGGTTCCGACGATCTGAAACATGGGGAGGGGCTTTGTATTCAGGTGTGTTTGTTTTTCTTTTTTTTTGTTTCCTACCCAAAATCGGGTTTCTTAAATAATCATCGGAACGACATATATATCAAATGAGTGATATATCATATTAAAGCCCTTTCAGTCGTGATTCGAACGACATTGAAAAATTTCTAGTGTCGAGAAAAACTGATTTGAACTTATTGAGATTTTTTTTAGATTTCTAGGATAGAAAACTTGATTTTACTATAAAGAACACTAGTTTTATTTGTTTAGTTTAGCTTGTTTGGCAGAAACTATTGCTCAAAAAATTAGAACAAAATTTATTTGTTCTCATTTTTTTCATTTAATGATTTTAATTCATTTTTTATTGACAAATACCGTTGATCATGCCTAATTCAATGTTCATCTACGCGATCGTATATAATTACGCGATCACGCTTACTTCAATATTATCTACGCGATCGTATAGTTCTCAAACACACCACCCGCTAAAAACGACACTAATTTAAAGAAAAGTACAAAAAGTTTACTAAGGACAGAATCAGGCATGATAGTTGCATTCCAGAAAAAAAGCGAGTATGAAAGATGGGTCGCGCAATTTTTGTAGAAATTTACAAAACATAAGTAAATAAGGATAGCCGGTTACTGTGCAACTAGCACAGAATGTTCCGACCAGTCTTAAAAAATTACAACAAAATTATTTTTTCAAATTAGTTTCGTTTTTTTCGGCGTGGTGTGATAAAGGAATCTGAACAAAAAAAGTAGAGCTTTGACATTTTTGTCAGCCATTATAAAACATGCAAATCTCAAAACAATTTTTGAAGACATAACAAGGAAAACAAAAAATCAAAAAAAAATTATATATTTTTAGTTTTTCAAAATTTTTCCCCCAAATTTTTAGTTTTTGATTTCTAAGATGAAGCTAAAAACTCCAAAAACTTCAGTTGAGTAAAACTAAACTTTCAAGAATTAAATTAAGCATAAATAAGCTAATCAGGCTTACATCAGCTTATTTATGCTTAATTCAACTAATTGTTTTACTCAACTGAAGTTAGTTTTTGGAGTTTTTAGCTTCATCTTAGAAATCAAAAACTAAAAATTTGGGGGAAAAATTTTGAAAAACTAAAAATATTTAATTTTTTTTTGATCTTTTGTTTTTCTTGTTATGTCTTCAAAAATTGTTTTGAAATTTGCATGTTTTATAATGGCTGACAAAAATGCCAAAGCTCTACTTTTTTTGTTCAGATTCCTTTATCACACCACGCCGAAAAAAAAAAACGACATAATTTGAAAAAATAATTTTGTTGTAATTTTTTAAGACTGGTCGGAACATTCTGTGCTAGTTGCACAGTATCCGGCTATCCTTATTTACTTATGTTTTGTAAATTTCTACAAAAATTGCGCGACCCATCTTTCATACTCGCTTTTTTCTGGAATGCAACTATCATGCCTGATTCTGTCCTTATTAAAGTTTAAAGTAAACTTTTTTTAATTTTCTTTAAATTAGTGTCGTTTTTAGCGGGTGGTGTGATTGAGAACTATACGATCGCGTAGATAAAATTGAAGAAAGCGTGATCGCGTAATTATAGACGATCGCGTAGATGAACATTGAATTAGGCATGATCAACGGTATTTGTCAACAAAAAATGAATAAAAATCATTAAATGAAAAGAAAAAAGAGAACAAATAAATTTTGTTCTAATATTTTGAGCAATAGTTTCAGCCAAACAAGCTGGCAGAAACTTTTGCTCAAAAAATTAGAACAAAATTTAGTTGTTCTCTATTGTTTTTTTCATTTAATGATTTTTATTCATTTTTTATTGACAAATACCGTTGATCATGCCTAATTCAATGTTCATCTACGCCATCGTATATAGTTACGCGATCACGCTTACTTCAATATTATCTACGCGATCGTATAGTTCTCATTCACACCACCCGCTAAAAACGATACTAATTTAAAGAAAAGTAAAAAAAGTTTACTTTAAAGTTTAATAAGGACAGAATCAGGCATGATAGTTGCATTCCAGAAAAAAGCGAGTATGAAAGATGGGTCGCGCAATTTTTGTAGAAATTTACAAAACATAAGTAAATAAGGATAGCCGGTTACTGTGCAACAAGCACAGAATGTTCCGACCAGTCTTAAAAATTTACAACAAAATTATTTTTTGAAATTAGTGTCGTTTTTTTTTCGGCGTGGTGTGATAAAGGAATCTGAACAAAAAAGTAGAGCTTTGGCATTTTTGTTCAGCCATTATAAAACATGCAAATTTCAAAACAATTTTTGAAGACATAACAAGAAAAACAAAAAATCAAAAAAAAAATTATATATTTTTAGTTTTTCAAAATTTTCCCCCCAAATTTTCTAGTTTTTGATTTCTAAGATGAAGCTAAAAACTCCAAAAACTTCAGTTGAGTAAAACTAAACTTTCAAGAATTAAATTAAGCATAAATAAGCTAATCAGGCTTACATCAGCTTATTTATGCTTAATTTAACTAATTGTTTTACTCAACTGAAGTTAGTTTTTGGAGTTTTTAGCTTCATCTTAGAAATAAAAAACTAAAAATTTGGGGGAAAATTTTTGAAAAACTGAAAATATATATATATATTTATTTTTTGATTTTTTGTTTTTCTTGTTATTTGTCTTCAAAAATTGTCACTCGCTCGAAATAAGACGAAAAATCATAAATTTCAAACCAATTTTGCTCGACACTGGAAATATTTTTTGAAATTTTTAAATGTTCGAATCACAACTAAAAGGGCTTTAATATGATAGATCATTCAGCCCAGTCCGATGATTATTTGTGGTGGCTGATTCAACGTGGAAAACAAAAAGAAAAAATTAAAACTCACCCGAATACAAAAGTCCTCCCCATTTTCAATGGTCGGAATAACGAAGATGAACCATGTTTTCAAAGATAGTAAGGCCTAAAGTTTTTTTGCTTCAGGATTCCATCTTAGTTTTAGGGCCACAACTATCATACTTGTACATAAAATCCGATGTAAATCAAACATTCTGATGAAATCAAGTTTTTTTTTCAACTGATATGTTTTCTGTGAAATTATATTTTTAAATCAATTAGATAGTTCACTCAGAGTTCACGTTTACCCACAACTCAAACTGCTATAAATTCGCATTTAGAGTTAAAAACCAGTCTTATGGGCCTGTGTTAATCTCCCTTAATTCCAGTTATGCGAAGTCTTCATTTGAAACCATTCAACAAAAAATGGAATTAGAACGAAAATTTTCTGTTGTAAGTTAGTTTCAAATCAAGTTTAGTTTGTATATGTACAGTTATTTGAACTCCACATCTTTTTTGTTTTGATCATACGGTATCTTTAAATGATCACTGAGATTTTCTTTTCTTAAATGTTGTTTTGAAGTTAAAATTGTTATTTTTCAGATTTGGAGTGCGGCTGAATACTTCCTCGTTGTAACTTACATTTGTTGCTCCTGAAATATTGCTTTTTATCGTATGTTGGAACATTTGTATTTTTTGTGCGACATGCCGCTGTACGTTTAAATTTTTGTTGTGTATCTTGTAGCTTAAACCATATTTTTGTCGGTACTACTCTAAACGCAATTCAACTGTGCATCGTAGTATAATATTGAACGTGCTTTTATGGTACAACATAGATTGTTTTTAAAGTACATTTAAAACATTACCAGTGTTGTTGTAAAGATTCGTTTTTTTGGGTTCGTCTGCGCTGCAATCAATTTTCGATTTGTCCGAGAGCTAACTGACATTTGAGTGTTGCCGTGAAATTCAGCTGGTGGAATCTTCACTTCTTTGATTTATTTGGCACAAAAAACTTCATCATGAATACAGGCGTGGTAAGTGGAGTTAAGTCACGTTATTGAATAAATTGATAGTTCACTATTGGCTAATTTATATTGAGGAAATCTAGTCAAAATTGCTCCCAATTTCATGCTTTATCTGGGATCGTTTTATTCGAAGTGAAAGATTTCTTTCTACTAGTTTCAAGATGTATTACGACTAATTTTTCCCGAAAACTTTTGTGCTAGAACATGATGATGTTTTTCCGAATTGTGCATTTCAAGGAAAAAGACCTGTGGTTTCACTACAAAACAATTTTTTGTGGAAAGCGAAATCTGGCGCGGAAAATTCTTGAACACGGATTAAAGCGGAATTCTTCAAGCGGTATGAAACCTGCTGGAAGCCGCTTAAAAGTGAAAAATGCAATTTCGAATGTATGATTTAGGAGGACTCTACCCGCTACTGCTTCATTGCCGAATGGTTCGATCCCCAGGCTGCCCTTGTGAGACAGTACCAGCTGTTCTTCTACCCTCGCGATTGTTCCATCGAAATAGTCAGTAATATTATTACATATTTCTCTACAATCTTCTTTGTATGGTTTTTGAGGTCGGAATTGCTGTTAAAATACGGCTCTTTTCCAATTTTCCTCAAATTTTATGTTTTATGAGTAATTATGGCTAAATGAGTGATGCTGCGAAGTAAAATTGAAGAAAAATCTGGTTACTTTAGTTTTCGTTCAGCATAAAAAATGTTATTAGCAATTTTAAAAGCCATAAAATAGATACTTGTATGAGTGATTGTTGGTGGATGGGGGAGAACCGAAAAATTTGATTTGAGTTGGTTGCAGGGGAGAGTGGAAGTGAACTAGAAGTGTCGATGAAATATTTAGTTTTAATCTTTAACATGTGACTCGTGCTTTGTTTTTGTTTTAGTTTGACCTGAAGACGCGTCGTTCGTTTTGAAG